CAGTCTCTTTAGCGCAGCGATATTTAGTGTGATGACCGGAAAGTATGTCATATGTTTTAAATCTCCATAACTGTGCATAAAATATATTTATTCAGATACATGTTTCATGCATATGTTTTGCGTGTAGTTAGTGACATCATAGTAAGCCATTGTAAAAATGTTGTATGCTTACATGAATTTATACAAGTTTGAATCTATTTACGTATCGTTTTTTATCTTGCTATGGTACTTGAGAAAGTGTCATGTTTTATTCTTCTAGTAACTTATGAAGGTAAACATCAGTTTATCTTGAAATTTTCAATTTTTTTCAGTTACATATTGTTACGACAGTGAGGGTCACGTGACGAGTATTCTAGAAGATTCGCTAGAGTGTTACGACAGCGGGGTCACGTGACGAATATTCTAGAAGATTCGCTAGTGCGTTGCGACAGCGGGAGTCAATTGACGCTTGTAGCACGTGTTGAGAGTCTTAGAAGTTTCTAGAACAGGTAGTATTATCGTATATAAGTGCGCTAGACAGTAAGAGAGACAGACGGGAGTCGAAGCAGGAGTGGAGACAGACGGAAGCAGAGACGAAGTAGGCAGAGAGAAAGAAAGACAGCGATTACGGTCGGCGGGAACTGAGGATAGCAGACACAGAGATCGGAACTATAGTTTGCGGGGACGGACAATTACGTCTAAGCGCGATAGAAAGTGAGTGAATTGTTGTGAACTATAGTGTGTGTAACTGTGAAAATTAAGTACATTACAAAGTTGTATTGAGGAAGAATAAACAAGTTTTATAAAGAAAGGACTTGTATCTTAGAAGAATTAACAATCAAACATACAGAGACGTAACAATATATTTTAGGCGCATGTTAAATTTCACATATAGGAAATCAACCTTTTACATTAAACACGGTCAAGGACTGGGTGCCACTTTTGTACTTTCTAATCTTGTATTAGCTTTCTCTGGTGTGATTTCAGTGTTAAAATTTATAATTTAATTTTCTCCTTTCTTTCATCTATGGGACACCAATGACGTGGATAGTGCTCCGAGATGGATGACGTTAGTTTTTGTGTATACAACGTTGTACTCTCTTAGTCTTAGAACATAACACATCCAACTAGATATTTTCTATAGAGAACTCTCACCAGATCCAAGAAAGTAGCAATACGTGTCGTTTCATGCTCTCGTGTATTTTGAATTTCTTTGAATAAAATTGATTTTACGTTAACATTGCACCCAGTCTCTCCCTTTGAATTCGGTGAAGCCAAACATTTGTTTTAATTCTGCAATGTAATGTATATTATTCTTTCTGTTACTGTTCTTGTCTGTAAGGTTATCAGTGAACCACAGAATATCAAATTGCACTTTTGTCTTATAAAGACGTGCTTTCCTGCAACCAGAAAGTTTAATAATGAATATTGAAGGTGACCAGTTATAGGTCTGATCCCAACATACTTAGTTATAAATGAAGATTTTGCCTACGTGTTCATGTGTCTTGCTTATTTTTCCTTTTCTGGCTATTTTCATTTTATTCTCTAAATATCTATAGAACCTGATACATTGTAGATACTTGTAATTTTTTTGGTGGACTCCACTGTCCCCGAACACTAAAATAGTATTTCCCAGTACGTAGTGGCATTACCTATTTGTCAATGTTTTTGTTTTTTAAAGCTCTGTTGTACCAATGACACATAGTCAAGATGGAATGCTTGTGTGAGTTAAGAAAGTACGGTTTTTTTTTGGGGGGGGGGGGGCTAGGTATATTCAATTCTAACTTTAGACCATGGATGTACTTTTTGAGTCCAAGTTTTTGTTCTTGGTCAAAGAATTGAGCAGCTTTGAGACTTAGTATTTCATATCATCTTTATAAATGCAATGCACTTAGAAACAATTAGAGGTAATGAAGTAGGTTGTCATCCAGAAGTGGAATGTTCAATCTGAATGGCACCAAACATCCATATGGACTAAATGACCACATCAAATATTCCTTGGATTCTGGTTTATCATTACTCATTTAAAACTACTAACCAGTTAGAAAGCAGCCAGTCAGCAGTACTCCCACCCACCCTCAAGAACTTGGTCCAGATTTGAACCGAATAATGGGATAGATTAACTTTTATAATGTGCCCACAGCTGAAAATGCAGAACATCTTCAGTGGCATCATGTCTCCTACCTGAAACCTAAACACCAATCATTAGGCCATAATACTGATATGCATGCTAGTAGTAGTTCTAGCCATCAAAACTGTTGAGTAGTCATCTATGAAAGATGGATTGTAGTATCCTCGCTAAGTTAGGTTATGTTATTTCTTCTGTCTAAACTTTACTTTCAACTTCTTTCTGTAAAGTAAAGAAAAGAAAAAAAAAAGTTTAATCCAAACCATAAGTCTTCACTGTGTTACTGGTTTCTGTGTTCTAATACACTACCGTTTCAAATATATTAGTCCATGTGATAGTTTCTAATGTCACTGTTATTGTACATGTTTGTTGATTAATTTTGTAATTATGTGAGACACATTTAACCATCAACAGGGTTACCTGATTTATGTAGAACAGTCTTTGAATGCAATGAATTTATACATTAGGTGAAAAAATTTTTAGGTTGGCTGTATATACTTGTAGTTTCTAGAATCAGAGCTTATTCAAAACTAATAGGGCTAAATTAATAACATTATTAACAGATTTAGTAGTAGTAAGTGAACAATAAATGCTTCCATAACAGTTGAGATAGTTGGACCTTATGAATTTGGTGAATTATTGTTTTAATGCTCAGATACTATCTAGTTAATGGTTGGCAAATTTCAAGACAGTTTGTTTTGTATTTATTTATGTAGCCAAGGTTAGAGTAGGCCTAACACCATCAACATTTGTTATTCAAAGTTCACACTTAATATAGAACACAGAAATTGATGAACTGCCCACAAGAACTGTAAGTACACAAACACACAATGTGTGGTGCTATGGTTCATGACATTCCATGTAACTGTGTTATTTCTTTTTAAAACCTAAAAAAAAAAAAAAGTACAAATTCAGCAAATTGTTTTGCTACACCTAAAACTATTATTGTAAGAATAAGTGTAAAATATACTGACTGATTTAATACTTAAGCTTATTTCTCAACAAGTCTGTATGGCAGCTGTAACCAGACCACAAGAATAAGAGCTAATTTGGACTGTACTGGCATACTTGACGAGTACATAACTGAATGGCATTGCTGTGTTTCTAGTTTCTTTGGACATTTTTTTCATGATGAACTGAATTCTTATTCATATCACTTCTGTAAAGTATTGGCATTGTTTCATGGAAAATTGGCATCTTTGATGGTAATGGGAACTGAATTTAACTTTAGACCCAACTGTCATTAGCTTCAACTTTCCTGTGCAGCTAAATCTTGCAACCATCATGAGCAGACAGCCCTATCCATCATATGAACAATAGCAGAATTGTTTTTTTGCTGTGCTGCAGACACTCAAATACAACCATGTTTCATCATAAGTTCATTGCAATTTTCAATATCTCACATGCCAAGTGTCTCTTGTACAGCTTTCTGATGTTATCTACCTCTTCGCAATTTCTCATCATGGACTTATGAACGTTTGTTAATTCCAAAGCTCCTTTATTGTCTTGTTAATGTATGTTTTCTTTTGGGCCAGAAGGGTCTCTTACATAAGTATAGCCTTAACTTTGTAGAAGATTGCACTGGTCCTGTTTAGCTTGGAATGTGGTTTCAGAACTTGTTCCTGTTATAAATATTCTGCTGAATGAGTTTTTCTAATTATAAAGAGAGCATTAAATAACCCTCTTTTGTAGGATGTGTCTTGTGGTTTTACATTCAAACACGTGATTACATATCTCCTCATTACTTTCTGATGATGTTACATTAACCTAGAATATTGTAGGACTAAAAATTAAACTTTATTAAACTCAAGATGAAAGCATGCAATATTTCACCAAGTTAATTTATCATAATCAAATGTGACATGTATCAACTAAATAATGTTTCTGTTGACAATAAGCTTAAAACACATTTCATGTATTAAATCATATAACATCAATATAAAGATGAAAATTATTATGAGTAAATGATCATAATTCTATGTACTTACCAGCATATTGGTCCTTTAAAATTTGCCACCTACCATTATTGAGAATCTGATAACGTGGAACTGTGTATGTATATAATTATCATATGTACATCAGATAGCAAGGAAAATAAATCTATTACAAGATTATATTATTTACAGAAGAACCAAGCCACACCAAACCTATCCAAAACTTGGGATGCATTTTTTCCACATCAAGTCACTCTAACTGGAACAGCTTCACTAGTGCTACTGCATAAAAAAATGCTTTCATGACATCACTACTTTAAAACATACATTGATTTGAATTTGTTGTAATGGGAAAACACTCCCATATATCTCACTTTTCTTCAAGTATGAACGAAACAGAGAACTAAAAAGTCATTTATGGTTCTTTATACATAACTGTCTGCGTAGATTACAATAATCATGATACACAATTTGTGATAGTTCTATATCATTTTATTGCGGACTTTCCATCACCCTTTTTGTAGATAAATTTATAATTATTCACAATCTCAAGCAGACGTGAGAAACAATATAATTATCTGCTCACCCTAAATATGACTTAAACCTTAATATTCTGTAGACTGGAGTTTCATGGAACAGAAAAACTGTATATACTGCCAACACTAACTAGCAATGGAAAGTTTAGAATAAACAAAATTCAGAGATTTGTTAACAGTAAGGAAAGTGCTGCTGATGAAAATGTCTGTTATGGTGACAATTACATGTAGCACATGTTAAACAGTGTACATTACAGTAAGCTTTAGTACTGATTAACTGTCAATATATGTAATAATTTTTCTTAAAATCTATCTGTAACTATTTATCTATGCCACTGATTGTGTGTGGGTATATAAATATATATTTATATGTATGTAAAATCAATAAATTGATTTTTTTTAAGTTTGTTCTCATAAACTTGGTGAGTTGATAAAAATAAAAAAACTTTATTTACATCATTTACAAAGTCAATGTTTGATGATCGACAAATACGGAGGAAACATTCTTCTTAAAAAAACATAGAAGTGAATAAACAATAAAAATTGTATTACTGATATTTTTAAATACCAAGCAGTTTTTTGGCTTCTTCTCCTTCTTGTTGGAGATGTTCACTTGCATACTTTTGAAGAATCTCCATTTTCTTCTGTCGAACTAAAGCTTCTTCAATCTAATGAAACACAAAGCACACGTAATGTGTAGCATAATAAAACGTGTCCCCTTACAGACTACAATTTTTGTGAACTTATTAAAAACAGCACCGTTTCAGAGGCTCTGTAAATTTATCTCATTAATATATGTACTTATCAAACAGGATATAAATGCTCTGCATTTTACTCTTTTGTGTCAGCCTTCTGGTATTCTAAAACAGTACAAAACACTGGCTTCAAAAATATATTTCAAACATTCCAACTGTATAAATGATTGTGACAATTTAAAATACTTTTATATAGACTATTCTTTGATCTGCCTTAATTCACCACCTCAATGGTATTGAATTCTCAAAAGTGGATTATTTGTGAAGAACAAGTATTGTGCAGGTGTGACTGTTTCTACCAAATTTAATTTCATATATATTTTTAGTATAAAAACTTACATCTGCACCACTGGTAATAAAATATTCATACACAAAACAAATTTACCAAAAAAGCAATGAAAGGTAAAGAGAAACTCTTGAGTTTTAAAGGGAATCTGCTAACTACATTTTCTAACTAAAAAAAACAAACAATATTTTTCACACTCATAGTCAGAAGTTGGAAGTTCTTGTCAGAGTTCAATGAAAAAATAGAAACGGTACCTTTATGGAAATAGTGAATGTTTAGACATATAACATTAAATCACTAATACTGGAATCTTAACAATATCACCTGATAAAAGAGACTTATATTTGTTTAGAAAAGTAAGAATACATAACAATTGCCTTTTAATAAAACTCTTGGCTTGATTCAGTAGTAGATTTTTCTTTTTTTTTTATTAAGGCACAGAAGGCCAACAAACCTCCAAACAAATATCAATGAGTTGAATCAACCAAGACCAACAAGGAAATACTGCAAGTCATTCTTTTGTCAAAAATTACCTTTTAAGTTGTTGTAAAAGAAACAAAATCACAGAACAATATAAAAAACACTTCAATCTTATTAGGCTACTACTTATATTCTATTTGTTTGGTTATTACCTGAGACTGTTTGATATTATTTACTCAGTTTACCTTTAACTTAATTATATAATGTTTTTTAAAATAAAATTTTTAAAATCAATGAACGAAAATGCACTGTGTCGATCATAATAATAAAAAATTATATATTAAATACTAATGCAAATAATATATATATATATAAACTTGTATGTGTATACATAAAAAAAAGATATAATTAGCACCTACTATCTGGTGATCTAAAAATAATAAACACAGTAAACAGTAGGATAAACAACATTAGTTAGAGTAAACTCACATTAAAACTATTATTAATTAATATATTTATATTCTGTGTCAGTAACCTGCATTTATATATAGAATAATCTAGTCTACTGTTAACCTATATTTAATCTGGAAGTTGAAGTTTTTTGAATGAAACTGAAGCTTATTCTTGGGCATGAATGGTACAGATAAACAAAACAAACACTAAGCTAACGAAAGAAATAATTTAAAGGATCAATTTATAAAGCACATAAATAAACAAATCTTAAGTAAGAAAAGTTACCTATTTATGATGCTGTTTCAGTTCTGAATAATATGTGATTCCCATTGAGGTGATTTACATTTGAACTTTATCAAATTATATAATTATTAAAAAGAGCTTCTGAGTTAAATAAAAAAAGAGTTTATAATATTCAATATTTTTTGCTGACTTTCAGATCTTTTCACTTATTTTTGACTGACATGAGTTAGAAACAGGTTAGTATCATTTTGTAGCAAAGATATTAGGGGGTTACCAATCAGCTGAATTAGAATAAAATAACATAGGATACTTAACCCTTTATAGACCCCAGAGGAGGGGAGGGTCATTGACATCCCTTGACTTTTTTTTATTTTCATAGTGGATATCCATACAGTATGAAACTTAGTAAAAACTTACGAAATAATATTTAGTTTTTGGCTTGAAAAATCATATAATTTGATTTATTTTGCTGTGACATTCCTAAAAATGTTGTTGAGAATGACATTGTTTTGAAAGAAACGTAAAATACTTCCAATCATATTCGATTTTTAAATATTTTTTATTGCTGATCAGAAAGTTCCAGGTTAAATATATAAAACAAGTTTCAGTTTGATTAATATTCATTCACAACTTTCTTTTGATATTCTATTTTGTTGAATGCAGCAGTTTCCACTTGTGGTGAAAACTGAAAAAAAGACTGACTTAAAATTGACCTATCAGAATGTTAGCAGGTCAGGGTAGGTAAAAATATTTTTTTCCAGAACATTCTTGGTCAAAATCAACTTATGTATAATAAATATAGCTTTTTTTCATTAAGATATTTCACTAATCTATGTTGATTGAATATGATAAACTTAAAAATAATATTCAATAAATAAGGACTGGAGTCACATCTCAGTCATCAGAATATTTTGCTGCTGCCTATCATACTCTCTAAACTAATTTGATTTACTTGATGTCTTGTTATAGAAGAAAATTTACATAGTTTCGATTCAAATATAATTTAACAGGAAAAACTTTCAGGAATGAAACTAGAAAAATCCTCAGATCTGTGGTGGGTTTCTAAGCCTTTTAAACTTCCTACTAAATACCAATGTTCTTTGAAGGAGCTACATCTACTCTATTTTCCTACAAAACCATAGATTACTTTTATTCACTGTATACTAACATAAATAGTTTATTATTTGCTGTATCAAATGGTACTTAAACTTTGCCTGTACCTATTTTGAAAGCTGAGTTTCAATTAGAAGTTGTTCAATAACCTGTTGTGAGGATGTATTAATAAAATTCAGAAAAGAGAAGAAAAATCTTGTGAGAAACAAAGCCTCAAAGAATGATAGGTTCTTAGCAAACATAAACCTATGCTTTTTAGGTGGAGAGAAAAATTCTAAGGAAAATCAATAAGTGCATTGTTTAAAGGTAAGACTCTTTGGAATTGAGCAAAGATGCGTTTTTAAACATTGGTTCAAGAGAATTTTTGAGTAAAATATTGTTGAAATAAAGCTAGAATTATTATTTTTAATTAAATTTGATAAGCAAGTGTGCATTATGCATTCGCACATGAAAGATACTCAAAAGATTTATGATAGAATTAATCCAATATTTTACATTTAATATGATTGTTTTTAAGCACAAAGCTTTGTCCACTGCAGGAAATCGACTACCAGATTTATGTACTGTATGTTCTCAAACTTACCAATGACTCCACCGAGGGACTTTATTATGTATATAATACTGTTAAACAACAATTTGGTATTATTACCAGCAGTAATGAAAAGTCTGTCACTTAACATATGCAAACATTCATTCCTTGTCTTTGAAAGTAAAAGGAATTACCACAATAATATATATCTCCTTACTACAAGACTCATCATTTGTGTGTTTGAAAAAATTGGTTTTATGTTTTATTACTATAAATCATACCCAAGTTGTCTAGTATCAAATAATTTCAGCCAAGCTGACATAAAAAATGTACATAAATATTACCCTTTATTGCAAACAGTCAAAAAACTAGAACTAGAACTAGAGAACTTTATGATAAAGTTTTTAAAAGTGGACAGACAGACAGGAAAGTTTGGCTAAAAATTCAAGATAGTACTTCCTAAAGCTTACAACAGGAAAAGAATGTACACACAAACTTCAGTGACATGCAGAAAGTCAGGTTTAGAGTTTGTTGTTATAGTTAGGAATAATCAATCAGAAAAAATTATTATTCTATATTTACTTATCATATCTAAATGAATAATGGTAGTTGTTGAATTAAGAGCAAGTAATCCTGACAAAGACAGTATGAAAGATTATCCAAGAGAAAAAGCCTAAAATTTAATCTTATTTAAAAAACTGAAGTATTCATTGTTGACACTGATCCTTCTATCATTTGAAAAATCAGTTACATTTTAGCAAAAAATAAAAGTGATCTGCATTTTACACATAATCACAAAAAAAAAAAGCTTAGTAGGAGTTTCACAACCTTCATAAAGTACTGGATCTTTGGTTAGGCTTCATTCAGTTTTTCAGTTTGTGACTTACTCAAATATGTTTTAGAATTTACTGCAGTTATCCTCCATAGGCCAAAAAATTGCAGCAAGATCCTTAAGTCAAATGATATCTCTCACTGATAAATGAGATAATTTTTCTTTACTGAACAAATACACAGTAAGCTACACTACCATGAAAAAAAACATACTGTAATTATTTGAGAAAAATTAACAGTTGTATGTTCATAATAATAATAAAAAAAGATCTACTTCTTTGACAGAATACAGTTTTCTCTTACATGGAGAGAAACAAAAAATCCCTAAATTATCTTTAAGACTGTTCACTCTCAACAGAGAATTATGCATGGTGCCATCACAACATGCTACATATTGCATTAAGTACAAGGTGGCTAGTAAATTATGCATTATAACTTTTGCACTAGTATCACCTGGTTCATTAAATCTATTTTATCTTGACACTCTTCAGAAAAATTAAGAGCATATTTTTAAAAGGAATACTTATCATAAAAATATTTTATTATCTTCAAATTACAGGTTATACAGTATTTAAGAACTTGGAAAGTTTTAAGCAAAAGTGATATTACACTAAATCAAAATTCATACCAGTACATAAATAGTATGTCACACCTATTTTGATTAATTGAACCACACAATTTGCATGTTACTTCAATCATTTCATTTTGCCATTTCACTGTTTATGCAGTTTATACTCAGTTAACAATCAGAACACAGTAAATATGTCTTTTACTAACTCATATAAAAATAGACTCTCACCTCCTTTTGAGATGGAACAGGGACATGAGCTATAAACCTAGGTAACCCTTCTTCTTCCTCTTCATCTTTGTCAACTACTGATGGTTCTTCATCCTCATCCTGAAAAATTATTAAATAGCAGCACTACAAAGGCCAAGCTTCCATAGGTAGTTACATATTAAATAGAATTGTTTTGGTCTGAATGGCTTTTACAAGCTGGTGAAGCATGATTATAATGAATTTACTTGTCATTTACATGTAAATTAATTATAATTACGCTTTGCCAGCTTCAAAAAGGCATTCATACCATAACAAGTGTTGATGTAACAAATGGCTTATATAAATAGTGTTCCGACAACTACTGTGTTTTTTGTATCTTGGCCAGCCTGATGAGTTCTGTATTATGTGAAACACTTTGTTGTGAGTTAATATAGCAAACATGGTGCAATTGTAACCCTATTAATGTAAACTTTTCTAATTCTTAAAAATACCTGAGGGAATACATACAGATTGCAGTTAAAAATATAATGGGACTAATATTAATGTTTAATGACTTGCTTGTTTTAGAACAAAGCCACATTGTGTCCACTGTGGGAAACCAAACTAGATTTTAGCATTTTAAGTCCATAAGCTTAATATTGTCTAATGACAAGTAACTTAATTATAAATGATGAAAATATTTTTTTTTACCAAGATTAGTTTTTGAAAATTAAGAGTACGTTAGCTTTGAATAAGAAATGATTACAAATGAAGAGAAAAACAGTTTTTTAGGTAGTAATATACTATTAAATATTATAACACATCAAGACACATAAGAACAAATTGCAATTAATATTAAAAGTAAAATAAAAAGATTTTATTGGTACTTGTCAATTCTGAAAGGCAGATTTCTAGTACTTCTAAATAAAATGCATTGTGCAATTAAAAATTACATGTCATAACAGAAATTGTCATATTCACAAATATAAAACAAAGAGTTAGGCTTCCTTACATCTATTATCTAACTGGGCCAAAATTACAGAACTTTACTGCAAGAGTAAAATATTCAGTTACACTTACATAATAAACCTTTTAAATAATCCTATTTTATGTGATACACAAAGTTTACCACTACAAATAGACATTAAGTGTAAAGCTGTCATGGTTGTAACATTTTTCTCAGCATACACATTTTAATTAAACATAATATTTAAGAACTAATGTTTCTTTCTCAAATAACGTTATCAAAAATAACAAGGCATTTATTTTTTTAAATATGTATGTGAAAATTAGTTGTTCTGTGAAAAAACTGTATTCAGAATTATCAGATTACTACTCTTTAAGCATTGGGTCTTATTTTTACTTTCTCTTTTCAAGAGAATATACTCTAAAATCACCAGGTTTATAAGACGCCACACTTTTAATTAGCCAGACATCTTGGTTAGCAACTGGTAATGGTAAAGGACAATTCATATTTTAAAGTGCCAATTTTGCAAGGATAATTCAACAGTAACCTAACAGCTTGTATATTAAAATGGAACTGATATTCATAACAGTATATAACAAAATAAACCCTTTTTTCAGATCATTAGTCCTTTTAATAACATCCATTCTAGATGAAATAATATAGCAAAAGAATACATAAAAGTCCTTTAGCTACATGATATTTGCATTCATTTGTACGATACTGAGCTGTTGAATAAAATAAAAAAGAAAGGGTTATCATTTATAAAATGTAATAACTTAATGAAATGGCCATTTCTGAATATAGCCAGACAAATTTTCATCTTGTGGTTAATTCTAATTTTTCCAAATAAGTGAAAGAAAAAGATAAAACTTACTTATACCAAGGACATAAAAAAACAGCAAAGTAATCAAAGATTTCCCAATGACTTTTCCATTACACTTTGAATTTATAATTGTTGCTAATCATATAATAACAGAAGATGGCTCATTCTTATGGGCTTAAATGTCATGGTTTTAAAAAAGCATTTCCACTGTAAAGCTATTCAGGATATAAAATGTAAAATCTTCTGATCAATAGAAAATTCTCAGTTCTGAATAATAGAAAAAACTTGTTAAAGGCCAACAAATAATCAATATGCTTGACTAAAACAGTAGGTCATTTTTTTGAATTACAAGTTATGAAGAAAAACAAAAAAGAAAAAGCTGTGCATGGCTAACAATACAGAAGATACAATGATGCAGCTCACGTGCACTCATGTTACCATATCAAATAAAATAAAACTGACCTTTGGTCTGTACAAAATAACTTGTCTTGGATTTTTTAGTAGACCAGTATTTTGTAAAATACAGTCAAATAGATTATTGCTATTTTGAAATAAGTTCTTAATCTTATTTTTCTTAAAACATAGAACAGTAACTGAAGAAGTAAGGCAAACTATCTCTTCTAGTTATGACCATTGTACTCACAGTTGCTGCTTGATGTAGGTTGCTAAGCCTTTAAAAAATTTGCATGTGGAGGATATGAAACAAAATATTTTTTTTAGGTTTTATATATACATTTGAATAAATAAAAAATCATAAATTACTACATTAATACCATAGAATTCTACTATAATTTATCAAGCTTAGTAACTAAGATGTATTTTAGTCTATAAAAATATGAAATTTGGAGCAGACTAAAGACACACCCTACCTCGTTGAAATATCGGTTCAAAAGATATGGCACCAAACCCATTAAAATGGCTGAGAAAGCCATTAGGGGGACATTCTGAGCTTCTGATTGGTTATTCATGTCATATATAGAATTTAGTGTATATAAGGGAGTGTTTCCAAAAATGGATAGAGATGCGTGGGTTTCCACTGTGTTTGATTTATTACATGAGCAATATCTTAGCAAATTTAAAAGATAAGGAGCTATTATTTTATATTCTAGCTTGTCAATATTGGTAATTTGAGTTTCTAATTCATACAAAACTAAAGACTTAGTATTTTGACTTCACAAACATTTAATTTGAACCAGTGCTGCATTCAACATACCACGACACACAAAAAATCAATGTTTATCTGTGTTTTTTAATATTTGCTTTTAACGTAAGAAATTGAATAATATATAGTACTAAAATTTG